GTGTCTTGTACATTTTGACTTGGAAATGTGCTTCGCGCCACAACGGCGTGCGCTTTTTCGACATCGCAACTTCTAAAAACACTCCGGAGCTGAGGTGCTTTGTACATTTTGACTTGGAAACGTGCTTCGCGCCACAACCGCGTGCAATTTTTCATCTCTCATCTGGCCAGCTGGCTCCGCACCCGCCGCTTTAGCGAGCCTACTCTTCGACCCTCCGGAGCCACAAATCATTGGAAAAACACAGTGCTTCGCGACTTTCCTACCTTTTCGCGCACCTGGATCTTCTTTCTTCTGAGACTTTCTCTTCTCTGATCTTCTCTCTTCTGCTCTTCTCTCTTCTCCTCTTCTGCTCTTCTCTTCTCGATTCTTCTGCTCCACCTCTGCTTTTCATCTGTCCATATTGTCGGAAGTTTGACTTCTAAACTTCCTGCGATAAGTTATGATCGTGTAAAAATGTAGGGAAACTGATGATTGACCAATGGATTAGGGGTTTTCCATGGTTTTCCGCAAAATGCCCCCGTGGTTTCTTCGTGATCTCATTTTTCGCCGGGCCGCGAAGCGCCAAGTCATCACCGACAGTTGGCTACTGAGCTAAAGGGTGCATTTTTGTCTGGGGTGGGGCACTTCATTGGCTCCGGTGTTTGGTTCGAACCAAGCTCCAATGGAGAATCAAGCCAGACTTACATTATATAGAAACCTTGGGAGGCGTGTGCATCCAAAACGTAGCATCTTCTGGTCGGAAAAGTTGAGGGCGCGATAGCCTTACCATGCAAGTGACATTTTTTGCACCGTGCATTGTCATGAGAGTTCGTGGGATCCTGGAGTTCGCCGGGCATGCTCAGCACAATTTAAGGAGCATGGATTGACATGCGCACTGACGTGCAAGAAATTGTTGGGTTTTCTCATCTCCATGAGGTTGCAATGGTCGCATCGCGTGTGGTCCAACAGAGGGGCCAAAAATGCCAAAAAAAAACAGAATTTTGGGACAAATATATCTCTATCTCTCTCTTGCTCTCGTTATTTCAGATTTCAGGCAAACTTCCTTCTCTCCCCAGTCTCTCCAGCAATGTCTTTCTCCCCACCCACTTCTCGAACCAGGTAGCCCGTCTATCTTTCCACCTGGCTGACCCAAGAAAACAGGACCTAGGGGGAATCGATACCCACCGTCACTGCTTTGCCGCACGGTACATTGCCCCGAAAAACCATACCTTTTTGATGCCTAAAACAACACCCATATACGACGTTTTCGGCACCTCCAAGGAACTACCCCCCCACACCCCTATTCTCACTTCGTTCGCGAATAACAACTAGACTAGCCAGCTTCCCAGCTGGCTTTCGTAATAAAGACTGATCATCTGAATGAAGACTTGGGGAACTTCAAGATCACATTTCATTTATAAAATAAACTAAACGTGCAGTCTTTTACATATGGCTCTTCATGCATGGTTCGCTCCACCCTTGTCAGAGGACAGAACCGCTGGGCAGACTTCACCTGGCAACTATGACAACTGACATTGACAAAGGCCTGTCGTGTCTTCACATGGTTTTAGAATGTTTTAGATCTTTGAAGGAGTTTCAAACATTTCACAAATAAGTTGAATGTAAAATAAGTTCAGGTGGAGGTTGCCGAATGTGTTCACATGTTTTCACCATCCTTTCCTGCACGTTGGCGAATGTCGCTATCAATGTCCCTTGCCAACGAAGAGTGCATCACCCGTTTCTCTTCAGCGATGCACCTCATGTTTCTTCGGTCGTCCCCCCTCAGATCACGCACACGTTCGACGCCACAGTGTTGGAAAGCAAGGTTTGGAAAACAATGTACCTGTGAACTGGTATGGGCAAAACCTAGCAAAACCTATAGCAAAACCATCAAATGCATGAAAATATCAGATGTTTCCTTTCAGGGCAGCAGCTTAACATGCAAACATTCAACGTCTCTCTCATCTCAACTATGAGTCAGGCAACGCTAGACTGCAAATGCCGGCGATGTTCCAACCTTTACCAAAGGTGCACCAAGGCGAATGGCAACCCTAGTTTGTACATTACAGCAAGCCATGCAGTTGCATGTTCGTCAAAACATACATGGAGTCCGAAATCCCATGGACTCCAAAATCCCATGGAATTTGCAAAGCAAACCATGCAACCCCATTGGCTGCGAGCACAAACTACGCATTTCCAAAAGCAAGTAATCCTGCTTCAACATCAATGCTGCAAACATTCACAGTAGAGTGTTGATCAGTGTTGATCAGTGTTGATCAGTGTTGATCAGTGTAAGTACAGTATTCTGTTCCAAGCCACCATTTTGCAGCCTCTGGTGTTGCCCAAGCTGCGTTAGCTTGCGGCATGGGACTCGATGCGCCACCTGGATGCAAATGCAGACGGAAGTTGCCAAGCCGTTAATAATTCGTTAATACATTGCGTTTGAACGGCATCACTTACACACAAGGCTTCTGACCCACTGCCATGGCACCATGTCACCATGCCGCTACAACATAGAAGGAAAATAGATCCATCCAATTCCGTTCAACTGTTGTACCTTCAAACTTTGCAATTCATGGATGTGGTGGGCCTGAATCACTTGGTAAAGAAAATTATGCGAAGATAAAAGTAAAATTGATGATGTAAGATCATGTGAATTCAAATTGTGTCTTCTGCGTTGGCTTGAGCTAGAATCACTTTCATTGATGCAGGCAGCATCAAGGATATCAATCAAGGTCATGAAATAGTCATGAAATTCCCAAACCCATCACCGGTAACCATCACCTTCCCCATGACTGGAGCCGATCGGCGTCACGACGAAGAGTTGCAGCAAAGGGTTGGCAAACCATACTCCCCAACGGTTCATATGTTTGGGTATGTTTGGGTATGTTTGGGTATGTTTGGTGATGGTAAGAGTTGAAAAGTGTGCCATGGGTGTACAGCAAATACAACACCAACAAAGCCCATTAAGTGTCTTCAAGTGATCATGTTGGACATGTAGTGCTGTGGTGTCATAGCAGGCTTGATTTTTCCTCCGGCAGGTGTCTGACCGAATCTGTGAGGAAAACATGTTAAAACGAATCAAACCTTCGATCTTCAGATGATCTTTCCGACCTATTCTGGAAGCTCTATAAGCATATTTAGCGATTATTTAGCATCTTGTCCTGCAAAGTTCAAAGGCCGCAAGGCCTTGGACAGAACCTGAAGTAGTCAGCAACTGGTGCAGTTAGCATGCACTGCATGTACCCATCCGTCTTGCACACTCATGCGATGGAATTAGGTGGTGCACCCACCATGCCTACTTGGAAAACCTTGCCAAGCATGGGCTTGCTCTCCAGCCCTTGTGCACTCATGGTTAAAGGGAACAGAAATGGCAAAGGCATGTGTCGCTCACACTGTTCAAGAACTTGGAAGCCCCCAACGGGCCTCACAATGGGGGGTTGACAACGGGGCAAACAAGTTCAAGCTCGACGATGGCATGTTGGCAAGGCTGAGTCGGTCCAGGCTGCCAAAGGATTTAAAGGTAATGTGGGTATGAGTCAAATTTGGGCACATCAGAAATGGATGGTTTAATACAGAACATCGCTGAACTATAGAAAAACCCTCTACTTAGGCATCTTAAATGTTAACTGATATCCAACTTCTGCGGGCCAGCTTTTTTGGCATGGCCAACAGGTCAACAGGAAATCCAAAAGTCATATCAGCCAGGGGGAAAAGATGTACCCCACCTTGCGCATCTCTGGAACAACCACACTGATGTATGTTAAACTGATCACTATGGAAACTCCATGCCATTCATGTGGAAACCTTGGTCTGACCCTTTGACCTTGCAAATGAGTTCAAACTTTGGTTGTTTTTCAGCACGTGGATCCAGGAGGATGAAAAAACACTTCTGCTGGAAGAGTTGGAAGGGTGAATTATCACAGCTGGTGAGGATTCAACTTGGTCAAAACACTCCTGTCTGGATGCCTGAGCCCAACCCGAACTGATATCTCGGCCAGAGCCAGTGCCGGTTCTAGAATTCAAGGTTTTCGCGCTAAAGCTGCAAGCAGATGCAAGCAAGAGAGCGCAGTCCTCAATTTCAAATTTCACGCTCAAACTTTCCCAGAACAAGCGACGGAACAAGGTCTGACACAATGTTGACGGACCTGTGAACACCAAGCGGGGCCATCTAAAAGAATCTTTTGGGGTCCCTTTAAGACTGGTGACTTCTCATGACATGCTTTGCATGCCACACATCAACAGCTTGCCATTCAGATTAACAGCTGCCCTCACACAGCTCATTTCAAGTTTTGGAACTTCTGTGATTTGCATTTCACTTCGCAGTCGCTATCTTGGAGGAAAGTGATGGAGCTGTAACCTGCAGCTTCCTTGCACTGGAACTAGGCTTTCGCAACACTGTCTCCTGATAAGCTGGCCTTCACATGACACCAATGCGTGTGGCTCCTTGGAAGTTGGATGTGTTGCCTTCGAAGCCTAAAACGGCTGTATCTCACAAGCATGAAATAATTTCCTCCACTGAATCTCCTTACTCGCTCTCGTCTCAACAGGTGCAACCGCGGACCGACCCTAGATATCAGCAATCTTGATACTCGAAGCCCTGTGTTTCCGTTGTAAGAAGAGACTTCGTTTTCATTGCAAGAAGAGATTTTTACTACAAAACATGGGCGCTCCCACATCTTTGGAAGCAGGCAAATCTTTCTGCTTATTTTATAAGTTCGCCTGATTTCATGAACTCTTGGACACTTCCAACCTCTTCGGGTAAAGACACTTACCAAAATTCTCGATGGCACATGAGCCTGGAAAACCACCCTTGTCACATGCAAGATACCGCGGTTACAGCCAAGAAATTTCTGTTTTTTCGGTACAAGAACCAAGGTGAACCAAGCCACAAACAGGAAACATGGCTAACAACCGCAACAGTGCAGCAGCTAAGGTTGAGGCATGCGTGGGTCACACTTTGTCTAGCTCCGCGATATTTGGCTAGGTGGATCTCAAGATGATGTAGACAGGGACAATTGCCGCCTGTTCCAACGCAAACATGGCAATCACAATCGCAACATTGAGCACCTATAGGGTCGAAGCACCATCCAGCGGGAGCACTTGGTCCAACACTTCTGGATTTGGTTGTGTGAATTTCAATGGGAGGAAAGCAAGTAACACCAGTTCCTCTCAGTCTGTAGTGGCGCATTAGCTTCACCACACCACAAGGCTGCATTCAGATGGGCCAGTGATTGTGGGATGGCATCATCCTACAAAATGCTGAATACAACATAATACAACCATGTGCCCCCCCGTGCCCAGCTCGGTTTGTAGCGCTCAACAGCGAAGGGCATGCTTTCCGACCAAATCAGAGAGCAGTTCAGATCCAGCAATCCTATTCAATCTGTCTCTTTTAAATGCTCCAAATAGCTATCACAAGATCTGTTGATTTTCTATCTCAGTACCGTTCCTGTTTCGCCGCTTTCTGGTGACTTCCATTCCCCAAAGCATGCCATCAGCAATCGGCTGTGCCGGTCTCGACCATGTTACCAGACATCAACAGACTCTTACCTTGTGCGATCTTGTGCGTCCATCAGGTTCTGGAAGCCGCTGAAAGCCAGTCAAGTCATGCAGGGCATGTACCTTCCACGGAAGACTTCGAGCAAAGATGCTTATGCCAAGGCTTATGCTCCTTCTCGAATCAAGTTTCTGCATCAAACCTCAACGTCAGCTTCAAACCGGTCCAAGAATGAGCCCCTGATTAATTTCAGCCCTTCATGTGAAATTTAAAGACTTTACTTTTTTTTTTGAGTTTGAGGATGATCTTGAGCTCTCGATGTCAAACAGCTCTTTGTCAAACCCTTGTAAATCTACTCTCCTGACCGGAGTTGCTGGCAACTTCATTCTTGGACCATGACGATGCCTGAACCAACCTGCCAAACGAGTCCAAGTCGGCAATTTAGTGCGGACTCTTTTGGCTATGGCTATGGCTCTCTCTCTCTTTCTGCATTCATGGCTCTGCGGTCATTTCTCTCCACGGGCTCCGGCACTGCCTTACACTTCAAAAGGCACAATGGTCCTGCAGTGGCTACGCAGGTTTTTGGCCAACGGTGCGTCAAAATAAACTGCCCATCTTTCATCTTAGGAGAGCAGAGTGAATTTTATGGAATCTATTGCTGCATTGTGCTGCCCTTGCCATCTGGCTCTTCCACTCTGAAATTTAAGTAATTTAGTCTGGCGCAAGCACCAAAACTGAGGATGTCTAAACATAACTTGTCATTTCTTGGAGCAGGCTCCAGCATTGCTTCGCACTTTGGAGCACCTGTAAGAATGGCACCATCGCACAAACCTCTTAAACCTGTCGCATGGCCGCATGGCAAGCTGAAGGCGCTTTGTGGGCTTGAGGTCGGACAGTTTCCAAGCAGCTTTCCGAGCAATCCAAATCTGCACACATGAAGTGCCAAAATAGTGAGTGAACACACGCGCAACCAAACAACTAGGGCCACTAGGGAGCAAAAATGACTTGGAGACTACCTTTGAGGACGAACACCCAGCAGTATGCTCACGTAGCTGGTCCGAAACAGGGTCCCACTGGCGAATTCCGTCAAAGAAACCTATTTATTTAAACTGTGGCATTGATTTGTCCCTGCTAAGATGGCACTATCAGTCAGCTCAAGCTTTCGTTTGGAATATGTTTCCCAAATTATGCAAACCGGTGCTGCGTGGTAGCTGATAAAATATCGCTTACTATATATGTCTAGATCCGATCTCATGGTGCCAGGCGATACCTAGAGACTCGAGCGACATCAAAATTTTGATGCTGCTCTAGCAAAACAGTGTTTGTTTCATCTGATTGTCGCTGAAATTTCTGGCATGCGCCGTTCTTTGGGAAACAAAGTTTTAGATTTTGGTGTTGGAATGCGCCGTTTTTGCCAATGATTGCACCGTTTTTGCCCGTGATTGCGCCGTCCTTGCCCGTGCAGAATTTCCATTGCGCCGTTTTTGCGGAATTGCGCCATGTTTTCTACATTGCGCCATTCTTGTGGACTTGCGCCTGATTTTTTTGTAGGTTGGGAATGCGCCCGAAATTTTGGATACATGAGTCACTAGGTATGCAAAGAGATGTCGCGCCCCTTCGCAATAAATCTCTAGTGCTTTGAACGGAAACGGAGCTACTACATTGGCCTGGTGAGGAAAACTGAGGGGGGAACTTCTTCAAATTGACGCTTGCATTTGATCTCCCCAACCTTTCCAGTCGCGCGGTTCAATTTTCAAAAACCTTCGTGGTTAGATTCGATGTTTTTTATATGTATGTGGGAGCCAGCTTTTCAGAACGGTTTCAACACTTGCAGCGGTTTCTGCATGTCAATCTTCCATCAATGGTGCTCAAACTTCTCGAAACACTTCGTACCCGGAACGAATCCTCGGCTGTCGTCTCCAACACACTCCAGCCACGGCATTTTGAGACCAGGGCGACTTAGGTGGGACCCAGGGAAGCTCAGAAGGAGCGGCTGGACCTGGCGTTTCAAAGTCGAAGGC